GTGCTAGTAGGCTATCGAATTTCATTTGAGGTAAAATCTTGGAGTTAAGTTACGAATGAGGAATCTAAGTGGATGGTCGAACAAGATGTTAAAAGACCAAATTAGCCCTCCTCCATTTCAAATTAACCATGCAGCCATGGAACCTCCTAGAACAAGCTCCAAATACAAACATTTCTAGCATGCCGGTCTCATTCTTTACACTTAGCATTTCCATTCTAGCCGGTCCCATTTCCTTTTATCTACTCCACCATTCCACCAACCATAATGCCGGCTCACACCCCACTATCATACTCCACTATATCAACTGCATTCCACCACAACAACACTCCAATTCTATTCCTTCCTCCTGCCGTGAGCCGAGAGTGGAGTGAGAGAGAGAGGGAGCCGAGTCCTTCATTTTCCTTTCTTCCTGTTCGCAAGCTAAAAAAAAAAAGAGACCTGCTGTGCTGAATTCCTTCCATCCGTGAGCTGGTGAGGAGATTGAGTGCCAAACTTCCTCCATTCTAGTCGCAAGCTTGAGCAAGGAGAGGGAGAGCTAGCGGGCTGCATGTTGGACTGCCGAGAGAAGAGAAATATTTCAGCTGCTAGTTGCGTGAGTTGAGCTTCCAGTTGAGGTAATTTCTGGACCTAGACTAGTTGATTAGAGGTAGATGATGTTGATTATAAGCATGCATGTGAGAGTTGTGCGGTTGGATGAAGAATTAGGACTTAGGAAATCTGATTTTGAAGAAATCGGAACTGTCCGAGAGTGTGAGCTTGAAATTTCAGCTTTTGTTTGATTAATTTGTGGTAATCTGAGTTTAAATATGTGTTTAGCTAACTAAAATCTGGATGATTAAGCTTTGCATGAGGTTAATTAGCTTTGATTAAGCAAGAAAATTGAAGGAAACAAAATCTGCTTGCATGCAAGCCAACCGAGAGCCGACTTGGATGAATTTCTGGTTGGTTAGTGATTTTGATGTTGTCCGACCTTGGTTTTGGATTAAAACTGATAGATAGCTGTTTATTTGGTCATGCATGTAGCTGATGAACTGTGATAAGAAAAAAAAAATCTGAAGTCCTAGAGTTATTTTGCTGGAATTTTTTTTCCAGGTTGTCCGTATGAAGAAAATGGTGAAGTTTCCAGCTATCTTTATGAATTTTGGTTTTGAAGCTCTATGTCAAACTATAATCCATATCATATATTATCTTGATCTGAACATGCGTGAAAGATTTGAAGATAAATTAAAGATTTTTGGAGGAAAATGTGTGTTTGGCTGACTGATGTGTGAAAACTGGAAAAAAAAAATGGCCGAGAGAAGGGGCTTGAGCACTTGGCTAGTTTTCCTTTGAATTTTAGCTAAGATGCTTATACTAGATATTTAAGATTAGTTTGTAGCTTGTTAATCACCTTTTGCATGTCAAGTTAAAAAAAAAAATGGAGAAAATTATGGACAAGGCTCTATAAGTTAATTGGTTACATTGCTGGAAATTATATGGTGTGTTATTTATTTTGGTTTTGGTTGGACAGATTATGAGCTATGTTTCTAGTGTTTCAAGTAAGTAAAAGATGGAGGTTTAATGGACGTTTTGAATTGTCATTGCTGGAATTTTTCTTGGTTGTCAAAACAAGGGGAAAAAAATCTGAATTTTTAGAATTTTGGGAGTTAAGTTGGCCGTGGCTTTCTTTTTGTTTTGGATTGAAATTCTGAATGAATTGTGGTTGGAAGTGATTGTTTGTTGTCAAGAGCTAATGATTAATGAAGCTCTTGGCCATTTGAGCAATTTTTGCAAGAGTTTAATTCGTGGTGGAATTGTTTAAACGGTTTGGCCGAAATGTACTTGGAAGGCCATGAATTGTGGTTTGGAATCGTTTGATATCTTGGACTTCCTTTGTTTAATTTCGATTAGAATTGATTCTGTTGAGACCTAGGGCTAATGATTGATGAAGCCCTAGTGAAATTCATGTTTGGATTGTGATTTTACTACATTGGTGACTTGGAATATATGTATGAGTAATTTGGAGTCGTGAAGTCGTTTTGGTCCTTTGAATTCGAGTATTTTTGATCAAGCCTTATTGAAATATTTTGTCCTAGTTTCGAGCTTTAGCAATTGAGTATAGTACGTTAATGCTCAAACTCGAGTGTTGGAACTTTTAAAACCTCGCTAACTAGTTAATTCTTTTCTTTGCTTAAACTAGTTTTACTACTTCTAGAAAATAATTGCATTAACTTTCAAACTTTAAGTTTTTGTAAAGTTATCCCTGGCTAGTTGTTTTTGAGGAAAATTGTTACAAACATGAGATTTTAATATTTTTTTTTTTAAAAAACTTAGAAAACTTGTTCGGCAAGAAAACTTGTTTGAATAAATTTGGTTCTAGTTTGGCCCTCTAGAAGGGAAATACCTTTAAAGAAACCATACGAAATATTTTATTCCTTTGCTAGCCTTAATTCTAAGAGATGTATTGATTTATTTTGAGGAAATGAACTAGTTATATCCAAATAATCTTTTATATATATAAACTAAGAGGTTGTATAGTAAAACTTATAGTTTTAAAAACTTGGTTTTCTAGGTTTAGCGAAGACGTGGACTTCGATTCCCAGCTTGACTTTTGAGCTGCACCTTTGGTGAGTGTCCGTGCTTGTTCTATGACTAAAGTGTTAAAGTGCTTTCTTGACTTGTTATGTGATAATTGGAAAGTGGTTTTCCTGAACCATCGAAGTGGCAGTGTGTACTTTATCGCACTAACCTTTCGAGTGGTGACTTGCTTGAAATGTTTTCTCAAATATCTTGTAATTGTTGACTGGAGCGTGGACTCGTCAACTAATCTACCAGGCAGGGGAGTGTACCACACCTTAGGGTGGGAGGGCCTCTTATCCTGACTTGGTAAAAAATGTATTGTGACGTCGTTGGGTGAATCTCTCAACTAGTTTATAATTGTGACGTCGTTGGGTGAATCCCTCGACTAGTTTATAATGTGACGTCGTTGGGTGAATCCCTCGACTAGTTTACAAAAAGGTATACTCGAGTAATACCAAACTCTCTCGTGAGAAGAACGGGCCAGGTAGGAGTAAGTTGGTTGGAGCGTGTTAAGGAAAAATAATGAATCTACATGGACCTTAGATAGTGAGAGTTGATGGAGGGTCAACTACGATTAATTTTGATCAAGCTTGTGGAAAATGGCTCCTGAGAGCCCTGTATCCTACCCTGTGCTGTTATACGCTTTTTCTACTTGCTGAATTTAAGCTTGAAGTTATGATTTACTATTTGTGTTATATGATTGCATGTTTTGGGGCACCACTGAGCTTTAGCTCACCACACGATATTTGCTTTCCTTAACAGGTTTTGGCATTCGAGAGATTTGAATTCTGCTTTGAGCTTTTGTAAATGTTGTTTCGAATCGTCTGTATATCTTTCGTTTTGGGTTGCCACTTGAAGCTGAAAAAAGCGCAAACCCTAAGTTTTGGCTTGTATAAATTTATTTGAACTTTACGAATTCACCGTGTGGTTTTTATAATATATTTTTGTAGTTATGTGTTGAGCTGGTTGGAGATGTGTTTAAGAGTGAACGTTCAGATGTCCAATGGCCATGTTATCTCTGAAGTTAATGTGTTCTTAGTATTCTGGTTGTAAAGGTTTGGCTTGTTCGGAAGACGTATGGTGTTTTGGTTTAAGTTATACGTGGAAAATTAGTCGGTTTGCTTGCGTGAGTCCTGGCGAGAGCTAGGCAGGCGACCCGCCAACCCTCTGGTTCGCCTTAGGGAGAAGTGGGGCCGCCACAGGTGGTATCAGAGCCTAGGTTAGAAAAATTATTTGAAAGATATATTAGATATGCTAGAAACCCTGAACCTTTTTAGAGTTAAGAAGCGAGATAATTAGACGCATTCTAAGTAGTACTTGAGCAAGTTAGCTATTTAAGTATTAACCTTTGGATTTTGGTTATTTTGCAGGAATGGAAAACGGAAACGGACATGCTAATGGTAACGGAGTGGCTAATGGACATGTAGAGCCTCTTAGGTCCATCTCCTATAGGCCACGAGACGGAGGACCTCGAATACGTTATACACCCGCTGATAGGTACCCCGATACCAGTGTAGGGTCACATATGCCTACCCTAATGAGTTAGTGCTGTCCTTAGACGACGAGTGTCGCCAGTTGAGGGACGCTAATCATACTTTGACCCAGGACGTCGAGGAGTTGAGCATCATGGTTGATACTCAGCTTGACCGCATAGCTGAGCTCGAGCAGAGGTTAGCAGCCGAGAGGTAGCGTCAGAGCCGTCGTGAGGAGTTAGGGAGACAGAGGTCTCGATTGACTCGAGTAGCTGAGAAGGTACGAGATAGGAGTGCGGGTATTAGGGCTAACGCCACTATGATGATAGACGAGGTCATGGGTATCATTCAGGGCACTGCTCAGGTGGGTGTTGAGGAGGACCCGGAGGAGGACCCTGAGGAGGACGTTTGCTCCTGGCAGCCCTGCTGAGGGTTAGACTAGGTTTGATCTGTTTGTATCAGCGTATCCAGGGTTAGTTAGGGTGACACTAGATAGGTCATAGCATTTTGTCAAGCTAGATGGCCTACTTTTGCGGCACTATGTCCCTATTTTGGTTTAAGGGATTGTTTGTACATATTTGTTAAACTTGTGTGCCATACTTTCGGAAGGCACCCTAACCTGTTATGTGTATGAACCTTGGTATGTGAATATATGTGTCAAGTGTTTTAGTTTCTTTTCCTTAATATTCGTGTTGATTTTACTTACAAAAGAAAAATATATATAATAATAATAATAGTAATAAGTAAGTAAATAACAATATCTTTGCTTAATGACTTCATTCATATCGATAGGCATAACTAGGCTATGGATCGACGAGTTAGAGGTAGAGAACGTGGAGATCAACTAGACAACACCCCGAGGGTGGTGGTGATAGGGAACCTGAGGTCAATCAAGACCATGGTCAGGGAAACGTGGCCGGAGACCCAGTGGCCACCGCAATCAATAGAATAACTGATGTTCTAGAGCGCATGACTGAGCACCAAGCCCCGGGGCCAGTGCATCATCAAGGAGGCCCCATCGATACTGAGGATCGGGCATTAGAGAGATTCTTGAAGTTTGGACCTCCTAAGTTCTATGGAGGCCCAGAACCTGAGGTAGCCGAAGGTTGGTGGGAGAGGATCTCTGACATTTTTGCAGCTTTAAATTATACGGAGGAGAGACAAGTAACTTTTGCAGCATTCCAGTTTGAGGGAGCTGCTCGTTCCTGGTGGAACCTAATTAAGGTCAATTGGGATAGGAACCATATTCCTAGGACCTGGACGAACTTCACTCGGGAGTTCAACGCCAAGTTTTTACCCCCTCTCATCCAAGAGAAAAGAGAGGATGATTTTATCAAGTGTAGGCAGGGGGCAGTGAGTGTCGCCGAATATGAGATCCAATTCACGAAATTGTCCCGTTTTGCTCCTGAATTGGTAGCCACGGAACAAAGACGTGTAAGGAGGTTTGTGCAGGGACTAAACGTGGAAATCCAGGAGGGATTAGCTGCTGTTCGGATAGACACGTTTGCTGATGCCGTTGAGAGAGCTCAGAGGGTTGAAGTTGCTAGAGTTCAAGTAAAATCCTTCCAGGCCAAGAAAAGATTTGGCCCTAGCAGCAGTTGGGAGCCGACTTATGTAAATGCTCCACCGGCTAAAGTGGGTCGAGGAACGGGTGGAGTAAATAGTCCTGGAGCACCACTACATTTGATAGGTGATTTATACCAAGAAGCTTCAGAAAACAAGTCCCAAATCATTGTTAGTTACAAATCTGTCCAAGTGGAAAATTCTATCACTGTAGCAGTTTCAAACATTGGCCACAACTCACTCAATTTAACTTGGAATTGGGCGTGGTTAATGGCGTTGGAAAGCACTCTCATAAAGATAAATTTTCTCAGAAGAAACCATTTTCAAATTCCATTCACAAACAGCTCGTTTTTGAGCATCAAGAAGCAATTTCTGTCCTGTCTCCTGGAGAGCAACGAAACAGGACAGTGATTTTCAATCGAATGGTGTGGCTCACTCAAGTGGAACCAGAATGTAAAATTGGTACCAATGGAAATCTGGGAATGTCTAGTTTCCATTGCCGCAAACGGCACTTGATTTCGACATCGGAGTAAAGAGTTATAGCCGATACAAAATGACTGCCTGGGCAATACGGGATTCATTTTCCAGTTTTGCTAACTTTGGAAATCAACTCATTTAACCAACCAAATCATGTTATTTTTCAATGAAATTTTGTACACACTCACAATAACATGTAAACAATATAATCAAGTCATTAGAACCTCAAAATTGTGCACAAAAATGGTCGGACAAGGTAGGGGTAAAACGGTCACTTTTGCTTCTTGCACCCAATGAAGTTTCTATCAATTACACACCATTAATCCATCATTTTAACCACTAAACCAACAATATATCCACCATCAATCATCAAATCAGCAACAACCCAAGAGTGGGAGTTCATAGAGCCCACTTTCACATTTTATACCATAAACAAGACTACCCACATGATTATATAACCTTATATGTGCAATATATCTTACAAAAACTAAGATCTATGGGTTGGATGATTTGCTACCTTCTTGGATGACTAGATCAGAAATTTTTGGTCACTCTTTGCTCCAGAAAACCGTGGCTTTTCAGCTCCCTTTTGCAGCTCAAAATACTCCTCAAGTGTTAATCTAAGTGTGGTGCAAGTTTGGTTGAATTTGGAGATGATTTGGTGAAGATTTGATGGAGGAATTTGAAGAACTCTTGAGCTGTTTTTCTTGTTTTGTTGTTCGGCCAGATGAGGGAGCAAAAGAGAGAGAGTGATCAGATTTTTAAGCTTCCATGAGAAGATACTAACTTGTGGCCACAAATCACCCATTAGTCAACTCACATTAGGAGCCGTTTGGCGCGATTAAGGCTCGATTTCTCGCGCGTTTGGTTCACCAGTGCACTAAACCTCTAATGCACTTATATTCATATAAATATCATTCACTCTTAATTACCTCAAAATAAGGGTCTAAAGTTCCTAAATTAAAATCACGCGTGTGAAAACGCGTATCTCCAATCTGAGCGCGATAACGCGAAACTTCCGAGAAATTCTTATAACGATAGTACTAATAACTATCACTTGACTATTTAAACATTAAAATGCCTAATTTAGGTCCATTGTACATGTCTCCAATATTTCAAACCTATTGTACTCTCAATCAGTCAAGATTTCAAAAGACGTGTTCACTATTTTCACTAAACGAGCTTCCGGAAATTAATTCGTGAAATGAGTTACTTTAAAAATATAACGAAGTTATATTACCATGTATTTAGGTCTAATAAGACTAGAAAATATTCCTCGAGGCAAATATCCAATTAAATAATTTATTAAGCCACAAATTAGGCTTAAAAATAATAGTTTTTACGAGTCCTCACAGGATATATCTTCCCGTACATAAAAAGTAACCAAACATGAGATGATACGGGATTAATAATCCCATCTGTGTCATCCCATAAACCAAACAGACCCTTAAGATAAAAAATAGTCAAAAACTAAGGTTGAGACTAAAATCCTGTTTGATAATCCAATTCAACACTTAAACTTAATATATCAAAATTTTAATTCAATTCAACACTTAAATTTAAATGGATTAAAATCTTAACACGTTGAGACACGTTTGATAACAAAAAATAGAATATCATAATTAATTAAGTGGGCCTGAATTGTATATGTAGAACTTACTTAAAAAAATAAGTGATAAACTTTTTACTTATCACTTAACGCAAAATGCTGTCAAATGTTAAGATTTCAGTATTTACAATTCAATAATTTAATAGATTCAAATTTTAGATGTTATATTTTAATTTTATCAAATACACCCTAAATTTTTGACTTGATTTTGTTAAAGACATAAAATTATTATTTTAAAAGTGAACAAAAAATTTTATTTGATAAAATATGAGATACATTTTATAATTTTATATTCCTAATAAATTGAAATTAGCCAAATTTGATTTTAACCTAAATTTTTTACCACTTTTTAGCCTGAAAATCACCATATAACCCACATATAGTCTTTTTTTATGTACAAAAATGTTAGATTCTACTTTTTTTTTTAGAAAAAATTGAATATGATTTGTGTCAAGTCTTACATTTTTAGTTGCAAAGATGAATATTGATCGAGTCATTTATGTAGTTGCAAATAGGGTCCAACTTTTTTGCTCTTAGAAAAATAATTATGTGTAGATCATGTAATGAATTCAGAATAAAAAATAGTCAAAAACTTAGGTTGGGACTAAAATCCTGTTTGATAATCCAATGCAACACTTAAATTTAACATATCAAAATCTTAACCTAATTTAGTACTTAAACTTAATGGATCAAAATCTTAACACATTAAGATGTGTTTGATAACAAAAAATAGAGTATTATAATTAATTAAGTGGGTCTAAATTGTATACGTAAAAATTACTTTAAAAGATAAGTGATAAAGTATTCACTAATCACTTAATGCAGAATGCTGTCAAACATTAAGATTCTAGTATTTACAATTCAATAATTTAATAGATTCAAATTTTAGATGTTAGATTTTAATTTTATCAAACACACCCTAAATTTTTTGACTTGATTTTATAAGAGATGTAAAATTATTATTTTAAAAGTGAATGATAAAAACTTCTATTTGATGAAATGTAAGATACATCTTATAACTTTATATTCCTTACAAATTGAAATTAGCAAAATTTGATTTCAACTTAAATCTTTAATCAATTTTTAGCCTGAAAATCACGATGTGACCCACTGACAGTCATATTTTACATACAAAAATGCCAGATTCCACTCTTTTTAGAAAAAATTGAATATGGTTTGCATCAAGTCTTGCATTTTTAGTAACAAAGATGAATATGGATCGAGTTATTTATGTAATTACAAATAGGATCCAACTTTTTTGCTCTTAAAAAAATAACCATGTGTAGATCACGTCATAAATTCAAGATAAAAATAGTCAAAAACTAAGTTGGGACTAAAATCTTGTTTGATAATTCAACACTTAAAACTTAGACCCTGTTTGGCAGCTAGGTTTTTTGCCTAGTTTTTCTCATACAAGGTTTTTACAAATTTAACTACAGTAATTTCAAAAAAAACTCCTTAAATTTTTAAAATACAAATTTCAAAATGTTGACCTTGATCCCTACCTTTTGATGTTTACAAAACAATGGATGATACTAATATCTCTTCAAGAAATACTTTCAGCTATGAAGCAAATCTGATTCAAAGAACAAGAGCATTTGAAAGTGATAAAGGAAGTTGAAAGTTGTCGGGCGCTCAAGAAGATAACATCGGACGTCCAATAAACAATGTAGCACTTCGGACGCAAAGCATTAGAGGTACCGGACGTCCGAAAAAATTAAGATGATTTCTCAAACTCACTATCTGCTGTCGGACGCAAGCATCAGCTGTACCGGACGTCCGATATTCCTAACCTGTTTGCTATCGGACGCAAGTATCAGCTGTACCGCACATCCAATACTCCCAACAGTTAGTTGACTGTTCAACTGCTTTCTATCCATTAGAAGCATTAATGAAGCACTTTCTTAGTTTCATATAAATAGAGCATGGTCAGAAATTTCAAATAACTTTTGCACATTGAAGATACAAAAGATATAGAATAGTTTTAGTGAGAAAACACTCTCCAAGAAAGATTTGTAGTTTTAGTGGTGTGAAGTTCATTATAAACTTTTCATTTACGAGTAAATACTTCGATAGTGTAGGTCTGTGAGGGTTATTCTAAGGGATAGTAAAACTTTCTAACTTGACCGAGTGCTTGGGGCAAGGAGGAAGTGAGCCTTCCTTTGTACACAAGATTGGTTGTATTTCATCAATTTGAAGAACCTTGTTTGAATTGATTTTCAAGTTCAAGAGGAGTTTTGTGACGACCCCACCTCCGTCTAGAACGTACCCCAGGATTTAGCGGACCGCGTGCCTAACTCTCGCCAGGATTCACTCACTCATGTTAAGAAAATAGGGTGAAACCTCAAGAATAAAGGAAATAACAGTTCCAAAGTTTGGAACATACAAATACATTCATTTCTATCTCAAACATCCATACAATCCCAAATATATCAAAAGATATGAGTTCCAGATACATTCAACCCTAATTGAGCGACTAGTATGAATATAATCACAAAATTTCCTAAAACTAGACTACGCTAGCCTGTACAAGTCCCACGCCTCGCTCGTATCCCTTGTAAGGAAAACAAAACTAAAGGAATGAGTTAAAAGCCAAGTGAGGTTCCCAAACAAGAAATCAGGTATAGAAATCAAGAAAATGTTACATTTAGCAATTTGCATATTTTGCACAGTAATATCCAGTCATTCAAGAAATAAATACTCAATCATTGGAAGGATACGTGCTCACTTGGAGCCATTCATTCAAGTCATTCATTCATTCATTCACCAATCATTTTCCTTATCCCTCCGACATTAGAAAACATTTGCAAGTGAAAACTCCTCCAGTTCTTAACATTGATTCATTGATTTCATTTCCTGCCACTAGCCAATTCACTGGCCAGTTCTCCACCAGATTTCATGGTCATACTCGAGTATACCAAACATTATCTCAGGGTCACCGGTCGCCCGACCGAGTCCGCTTCTGACTCAAGTCGACTGGCAACGAAGGGCAAGGGTCCAGTTCAGCTAAAAGGCTTACATTCATGTACAAGTAGCATTCA